GGCCAGTGGTTCTCACACTGGAGCATGCGACCAGATTACCCCAAAACCTTGTCGAAACACAGCGTTGGGCCACACCCCCCCAGGCCATTGCGGCAAAAGGTCTAGAGCAGCGGTTCTCAACCTGTGGGTCGCGACCCCTTTGGCAGTCGAACGACCCTTTCACAGGGGTCGCCTAAGACCATCCTGCATATCAGATATTTACATGACGATTCATAACAGTAGCAACGTGACAGTGATGAAGTAGCAACGAAAATAATTCTATGGTTGGGTCACAACATGAGGAACTGTATTTAAAGGGCCAGAAGGTTGAGAACCACTGGTCTAGAGTGTCGCCCAGGAATGTGCATTTCTAACAAGTCCCCTGGTGGTGCCGATGGTGCTGGCCCGAGGCCCACACTTTGATAACCACGGCTTAAGGGGCACGTGTGGCCTGGGCTGGGACCTTCTGGCCCCAGGAGTAGATGTACATCCCCACTGACTCGAGTCATGCAAGCCCATTTGGAAAACTTAGTGGCCGCAAGCAGTTGTCTTTTTAAATGATCTCTTCCGTTTTAAATGATGTATACTTGTATTGGTTCATGGACTCCCACAATAACCCCATGTGGTAGATAGGATAGTCTCCATTTTTAAAAAATCAGTTTTTATTGATTTCAGAGAGAAAAAGGGAGAGGGAGAAAAATAGAAACATCCATGATGAGAAAGATCAATGATGAAAAACGTCAATTAGCTGCCTCCTGCACACACCACACAGGGGATGGAGCCAGCAACCCAGGCATGTGCCCCAACCAGGAATCCAACCATGACCTCCTGGTTCGTGGGTCAACACTCAACCACGGAGCCACACCGGCCGGGCTACAGTCCCCATTTTTATAGATGAGGAAAGTGAAGCTCAAAGTGGGGGCGGTTGGGGGGCGGGGTGACTCCTCTGCAGGGCTCTCCCTCTGGTTCTCTGAGCTCAGATTCTGTACTCAGAGCCCAGCCTGGAGAATTCCCGGCTAGCTTAATCCTCAGAACTCAGATTTCCCTGATCTTTGTAAATCGCACCCACCGTCACCTCGTCTGAAAAGAAAGCCATTCACATCCATCCACAACCAGCTGCAAACCTGTGCATATGGGCTCCGCTCTCTCTCCCACCCACTGTGGCCACTTCCTGCTGGATCTCATGACCTGGGTCCTCTTTCCACATCCTCTTGTACCCAAATGCCATCGGATATGACTTCCTTCTTCCTGCTTCCCTATGTCTTAACAAACTGGCCCCCAGCTGCTGTGGAGCTAAGAAGCCCGGCATGCAGGGTGGGCAGGTGTGAGAAACGCCTGGGAGAACAGTCGGGAAGGATTTGTAAGGTCCGGAGTTGGACAGACCTGCTTGCCTGGCCCCTCTCCCAGGAGGGGCCTCCAGGTGATGAAGCCATCTCGTTGTCACACCCCCTCACTGGGCAGGCTGGCCAGGCCCCTTCTTGCCCCTTCCATGTCCTTTGACAAGTGCTGGGTTGGTGCAAACTGGGTTGGAGTGTGAGCTTTGAACCCCAGCCAGGTGGGCACCTATGAGATTCACTCAGAGAAGCAGACATAGGGTGCAGAGGCACCTTCCAGCTGAGTTCCAAGTTCTCTGAGTCTCTCTCTGACTCTTCACCTCCCGCAGGCCGGAAGTGCCTCCACGGTGGCGCTGACCAGCGCATCCCCAGGACTGGTGTGCAATGCTGAGACCTGTCTGGCCACGGACACCAATAGTCACGTGTCTGCAGGTAAACCTGGAGCCCAGCGTCCTGCCGGCTCCCAGCCCCGTGGAGCCAGAGCTAAGGGCAGGACGGAGGAAAGGCGTGCCCAGAACTTCAACATAAGCCCCAAGGACTTTTGATGGCGTGCAATGTATCACACTGCAGCAGAGGAATTATCCTCACCCACCCACACCAGTGAGCATGGGCTGAGCACTAACCCTCAGCACAGGGCAGAGAGGAGGGCTCAGCACACACATTTCTCAGGAACTTCCAATCTGGGTGCCACCTGAGACAGGCCCCTCGAGAGAGAGCATAGTGTAAAGCTCCAGTAGGAAGAGAGTCGAGTGCCCAAAACACAGTCAGAAATGACAAGATGCAAGAGCCAGGTCTCCAGGAACAGAGAGGGTCACGCTGGGACAGAGGCTGAGGGCGACTTCACAGAGGGCCCCATCTGAAGTCTGAGGGTCGGGGATGGGAAGGAGAGCCGGGGGCTGGCCAGGGGGAAGAGTCCACTGTGAGAAGGAGCAGGGCAGGCTGGGGCCTGCGCAAGGCAGACATCTCACTGGCCCTGGTGCTCCCCGCGCTTGGGCCGAGAGGTGCATGTTCTATTTTACTACTAAATGCAGAATCGCCCAAGTCAAACCGCTCTCTGTACATTGCTTTAGACTCAGGAAGGTGCAACGGAAGCTTTGTCGTGTCTCATGTAAACATGACCTAAGCAGTGGTTCTCAACCTTCCTAATGCCGTGACCCTTTCATACAGTTCCTCATGTTGTGGTGACCCCCAACCATAAAATTATTTTCGTTGCTACTTCATAACTGTAATGTTGCTACTGTTACGAATCGTAATGTAAATATCTGATATGCAGGATGTATTTTCATTGCTCGCGACCCACAGGTTGGGAACTGCTGAAAGGGGATCGGACTTGCCGACCTGCACCAATGAAACCGAGGGCCTGTTCCTCCGACTTTCTTCCTCCCCCAACGCGGTTCCCGATTAATCACACCAGCCGTGCGGACGCTTTCCCATGGCACACGCGTCCAACTTCTCAAGCCACAGTTAAAAGAGTCCCTTCGCCCCCCGACCCCGAGGCATCCGGGCCAGTAGCTTGGTGTGTGTCCTCCCCCTGCTTTCCGAGCTTTTCAAGAAAACCTTGTCATTTTTGTAAATGTTAACTCTACGTTTTTACTAATTTTGGTTTGGAAGGAGGAGTATGTGTGCTCATTAGAACATTCTGCTTCCCTAGATTTGAAATGTCATCTAAATAATTGCTCAGCCGACAGTTCTTTTGGTGGCGCCAACTATTACTGTGAAAATGCTCTCTTCCAGGAGAAGCAGCACAGACCCCCACCACCACCCCATCCCACCCCCCGCCCCAGGCCAGGAGCTGCACTGTTATTTATCACGATGCACTGCAGGTGGACGAAGTTCAAGCTCTAGGGCAGGGGTGGGGAAACTTTTTGACTCGAGGGCCACAATGGGTTCTTAAACTGGATCGGAGGGCCGGAACAAAAGCATGGATGGAGTGTTTGTGTGAACTAATATAAATTCAAAGTAAACATCATTACATAAAAGGGTACAGTCTTTTTTTTTTTAGTTTTATTCATTTCAAAAGGGCCGGATCCAGCCCCCAGGCCGTAGTTTGCCCACGGCTGCTCTAGGGTGAAGTTCAAGCTCACTCACCACCCAAGACTCTGAATCTAGTTTTGTATTTACCATTTTGTATTTTTTTTCTTTTTTAAAATTATTAATTAACTAGAGGCCCGGTGCACAAAAATTTGTGCACTCAAGGGGGGGGGGGAGGAGGGGGTCCCTCAGCCCAGCCTGTGCCCTCTTACAGTCTGGGACCCCTCGGGAGATAACGACCTGCTGGCTTAGGCCTGCTCCCGGGTGGCAGAGGGCAGGCCCAATCCCTAGGTGCAGCCCCTGGTCGGGCTCAGAGCAGGGCCGATTGGGGAGTTGGGGCGCCACCCCCTGTCATGCACAGAGCAGGGTGGATTTGGAGGTTGCGATGCCACCCTCAGTCACGCTCAGGGTAGGGCCGATTGGGGAGTTGGGGCACCGCCCCCTGTCACACTCAAGGCAGGGTCGATGGGGAGGTTGCGGCGCCACCCCTGTTACCCACAGAGCAGGGCGGATCAGGGGGTTGGGGCGCCGCCCTCTATCACCCACAGAGCAGGGCCAATCAGGGGGTTGGGGCGCCGCCACTGTCACACTCAGGGCAGGGCCAATGGGGAGGTTATGGCTCTACTCCATCACACACAGAGCAGGGCCCGTGAGGTGGGGGGGTTGGGGCACCGCACCCTGTCACACACAGAGCCGCAGGGCGATCAGGGGGTTTGGACGGGGCCCCCTGTCACGCTGATCCCGGTGCAGGGAGGCCTCGCAGCTCCACTGATCCCGGTGCTGGGAGGCATATTACCCTTTTACTATATAGGATAGAGGCCTGGTGCATGGGTGGGGCTGACTGATTTGCCCTGAAGGGTGTCCTGGATCAGGGTGGGGGTCCCCACTGGGGTGCCTGGCCAGCCTGGGTGAGGGGCTGAGGGCTGTTTTCAGGCTGGTGGGTGACTGAAGCTCCCAACCACTCCTTTTTTTCTTTTTTTTTCTTTTTTATTCTGGGCCAGCTTTAGCTCTGAGGCTCCAGCTCTTAGGCCTCCACTGCTGAAAGAAGGTATCTGGTTTGTTTCGGTTCTATAATCAAAACTCTGTATCAACTCCAGCTCTGAGATCCCGGCTTGCTGAAAGCAGGTTTCTGGGGTTTTGTTTAGCTTCTATATTTGTAACTATGTTTCAAACTGCAGGCTCAGAGGCCTGCAGTGGCAGGCGGGGAATATTGGAGTCCTCCGTCACTGAAGCAAGCAAGCCTCATGTTCAGTTTAAGCTGCCTGGCTGCTGGCCGCCATCTTGGCTGGCAGTTAATTTGCATATCTTGCTGATTAGCCAATGGGAAGGGTAGCGGTCGTACGCCAATTACCATGTTTCTCTTTTATTAGATAGGATTATTTTTTTAATCCTCATCCAAGGATATATTTTTCCATTAATTTTTAGAGAGAGTGGAAGGGAAGGGGGGGAGACACAGAGAGAGAAACATTGATGTGAGAGAGACACATCAATTGGTTGCAACCCAAGTACATGCCCTAGACCAGAATCAAACCCAAGACCCTTCAGTCCACAGGCCAACACTCCAACCTCTGAACCAAAACAGCCAGGGCTATTTTTTTTCCTTAAAGAACCCTCCCACTCCCCCCGCCACCCCCCCCCCCCCCACACACACACACACACATTATATACACATCAGGCCCCCAACCCCGAACTGCTCCCTGGATGCAGTTTTAGAGCCATTAGACTTCATTCTCCTCTAAGGGCGGAGCCTCCAGCCTGGTGGTACTTTGTGTTTCTGAGGAAGTTCTCGTCGGGGAAGAAGAGGATGCTGACACTCTGAGTTTTAAAATGCCGAGGAGCCATTCCCTGTAACGTGTAGATGCAAAGAAGTAAATGAGGGGGTCGATGGCGCAGTTCATGTTCATGAGGGACACGGTGAGCTGCAGGGACACTTTGAAGGCACTCTGCTCGGGGCAGGATGGCAGGTAGAGCATCTGCCTCACCATGAACTGGGCGATGTTGAGGTGGTAGGGGCTGAAGCACAGCACCACAGCAACCAGCACCACCAGCGTGAGCAGGCAGGCCCGCCGGTGGTGCCCTTTCTCACTTGTCAGAGGGTTGTCCCGGGCCGTCCTGCACAGTTTCACTGTGATCTTCACGTAACAAAATAGCATGACCCCCAGTGGCCCCCAGAAGCTCACGACACAAGCCCCCAGAATGATGAGGGACAGCCTGAAGACCTTCTCAACGCTGGCATACTCCATGCAGGTGACCTTGCCTGCCACAGGCCCAGTCATGGTTATGAAGAGCAGGGGCACCGTCTGCAGGCCCGCCAGGGCCCAGACGGCCATGCAGACCAGCCTTGCTCGGTTGGCACTGCGGAGCCGGGGGCGCTGGTGGGTGCGGACCACAGCCAGGTAGCGGTCCACGCTCACGCATGTCATGAGGTAGATCCCCCCATAGGTGTTCATGTAGAATATGAACGCCGTCAGCCTGCAGAGCCCTTCCCCGAAAGGCCAGCTAAAGTCCAGCGCGTAGTAGGTGATCTTCCCAGGCAGAGCCAGTGTGAACAGAAGGTCGGACACTGCCAGGTGGACCAAGTAGACTCCGGTTGAGTTGATCTTCTTGTCCTTTTGACAGGCAAGGAAGAGGGCAAGTGTATTTCCCAGGGTGCTGAAGACCAGGAGGACTGTGTAGAACAGACAGAGTATCACACTGGCTTCCCGGGGTAGGTGATGAGGAAGGCAGAAGCTGGTATTGTGGGAGATGCTGCTTGGGGTGTCTGTGCTGGAAGCCATGTCAGAGAGGTCCTCAGGGAGACAAAAATAAGTAAACTGTGATACTGAATCTGTGGGGTGACAGCTCTATATGGCAATAATTAATAGTTTGCCAAGGCAACATGCACACAAAAAACGTGTCTTTTTAAGTAAACTTTTTCTTGAAGTGTAACGCACTGTTCCAGTTACTATTGCTGCGTAACAAATTACCCCTGAAATGTAGCTGCTTAAAACAAACTTATTATGCTCACAGCAGATTTTGATCAGGACACTGTGAGAATGGCTTTCCTCTGCTCCTCAACATTGGGAGCCTCAGCTGGGAAGAGTCAAGGGCAGAGGCTGGGGCCATCTAGAGGGGACTTCATTCAGGAGGTGGCAGGTAATGCTGGCTTTGGCCTGGAGCCTCAGCTGGGGCCGTCAACGAAGGCACCTGTGCGTGGGCTCCTGGGCCAGGCTTCCTCTCAGCATGGCAGCCAGAAAGGAATTAGATTCTCACACAGCAGCTGGAGGCTCCAAAAGAAAGCAACCCAGTGGCTGGGTAGACCCTCCATGTATTAACCACATCTTTTATTTTCTGTGTTCTGATGCAGTGACCCCGTGCTGCCTTGCTGACTCTGCAGGGACTGCCCCTCCCTGGGTTAGCCAGTTCCTTGAGTGTGTCTTTCAAATCCCGACGAACCAGTCCAGAGCCACACCTCAGCCAGCTCTTTGTTGGACTCTTACACTCTAGGCCACTATACAATCCCCCCTGCCCCGTCCTAATCACCCCAGGGCCAAGGTGCCAGGTGCCCAGGAGCAGCCTGTGTGTCCCAGAGCCTATGAAATTATTCAAACTAGCCAATCCTACACCTGCCTACCCCGCCTTGCCTGTTCCTTTCCACAGAAACCACAATAAAGGCCCTCGCCCTCACTTCCGCCCCTCTCCCTCTGCCTCCCAGCCGACCCAGAGCTTCCTGTGGGCCCCCCTGTGATGTGGTGTGCCCCTTCTTCTTGGAATCTCTAAAACAAACCCTCTTTTTCAACGGCAATTGCCTCCTGATCTGTTGGCCTTATGGAACCTCAAATTTTCCATCGGCGCACTGCGCCGCCTCCTCTAACCTAGCCCACATCATCTCTCCCACCTCCCTCTGTCGGTTACAAGGGAGTCACGAGCCCACCCTGAATCAGGAGAAGGGACAGAGCTGCGACTTCTCATAGCAGGAACGTGAAAGAATTTGCAGCCGTTTAAAATCCAACACATACACGCAAACACGTATGCAAATCGCAACAGTGCAGCTTGACGATTTTCACACAGTGAACACGCCCCGTGATTAGCACCCCGACTAGGACACTTACCTCATCAGCCCCCAGAAGCTCTCCTGCACCAGCCCCGCCCCACTCGAGGGTGACCACTCTCCTCACTTCTGAAATCACTACTCAGGGTCTGAGGCTCTTATCCTCCCCTCCTTCCCTGAACAATCCGGCCCTCAGGCCACCTGAGCTTCCAGGGCACCGTGTTGAGGTGGGGGCTGTGGGGAGGGGGAGTCTTGCAGGAGCCCGCGTCCCAGCAGGGCAAGGAGCATCGTCTCATGGGCAAATTGAGCTCAGGAGGGTCCCAGCCACAGCTCAACTCACCTTCTAGAACAGTGGTTCTCAACCTTGGCTGCACATTAGAATCACCTGGGAATCTTTCTAAAATCCTGATTTCTGGGCCCCATCCTCCGGAAATTCTGTTTCTTTGTTACTGATGTTGTGGCCCCACCCCAGAACAAGGAAACAGAATTTCCAGAGGATGGGGCCCAGAAATCAGGATTTAAAAAAGATTCCCAGGTGATTCTAATGTGCAGCCAAGGTTGAGAACCACTGCTCTAGAATCAACTTCTTCAGTCACGGAGCGGCTATGAGACCCCTGGTTAGAAGTAGTGTGTCCCTTTCCCTATTTGTCCACAAGCATGGACTGGCTCCCGAGGTGACCCTGGCCCTTGGCCATTGTCCCCGCTTCCTGACTTTCCCGGCCTCTTCCCAGGACACAGCACCGGGCAGCCTGGCTCGGCCTGGCCCTCAGCCCAAGGGTCTGGGGGCTCACCGCAGTCACTTCCTCAGCGAGGATGCCTGAGCCCTCCCTTCGCTGCCTGGCACAGCTCACAACCCCTTGGCCCTGCTAAGGGCCACCTCCTCTCTGAAGCCTCTGAAAACGTTGTGAGCCCCTCCAGGCTTGGAGGCACTTGATGGCAACTCTCAGGTGAGCCTCTCCCAGCGAACCCTCCGCAGTGAACCTCTGCGGCATCAGCACCCAGGATGCTGCGGCCGGGCCTGGGCCTCCTTTTTTGGTCTTTGGCACAAAACAAGTGCTCTGGACCTTGGGTCCTGCTGGCAGCCATGCCCCCCCTTCCCAGAGACACCCACAGAGAAGTCACCTCCACACCCCGGGGAGTGCGCAGGTGCTGTCGCACTGTCAGTCTAGTTGTGACTATTTCCTTCTGTCCTATCTCTGTGTCCTCCACGGGCTGGGATTTAGACCATAAATGTGACTATCAAGCCCCCAGAGTCAGTCTGGGCAGATCAGACCCAAACTTGGAGCTCGAGAGAGAGAGGGGCACACTCTCGGGCCCTCACACCTCTCATCTGCACTGCTTCCAGAAGGTTCTAAAGGTCACCCTGGCATCTGACCCAAGGGAGCCAGCCTGGGCCTATCAGCAGTTTTTCCTTGAGGCTGACGCTGGCCTTCGATCCCTCTGGCCTGGCCTGGCCTTCTGCCCAGACAGGAGTGGCAGGGACCCCTGGCCGGGGAGCTGGGGCCGGCAGGGATGTTCCACCCCCTGACAACAGATGCAGGAAGAGGGCCTGTGAAGAGCAGCTACAACCTGAGCCTTTCTCTCCGAGCCTGTCTCCTGCCCTGAGGACACTCACCTGTGGTCCACGAACCTGGCTCACCAAGGGCACGCGCAGTGAGCCGCAGAGCCGTGGCCGGTGGCCAGCTGCCTTCCTCGGTGATGGTGCCTGCACCCTCCGCTCTGCAGGAATGGAATCAGTTCACCACACTGGAATCCGCACTCTTGGGGCTTCACCCACCCCTGCTGAAAAAAAAAAAAAAAAAAAGGAAACAAAACAGGGTATAATCTTCCTGCCACAGGACGTGCACAATCAGCCACAAGACCTCCCAACCAGGCCTGGCCCCCGTGGCTCCCAAGAACAAGGGAGGGAGGGGAGTCGCTCTGGGAAGCCTCTTTCTGTTCTCTTTCTGTGCCCCACACACAAAGGCTGGGGTTTAGACCATAGACATGACTACCAAGCAGCCACCATTCTCCCCTCTCACCCCCCAAGCCCCGCGCCTGGAGCGAGGGCCAGGGAGCGAGAGGTGCCCTGTGGGGACTGTGATAAGCTCAGCTCCTGTAGGAAAGTGGAGGGGAGACAGCCTGGCTCAGAGTCTCCTGGATTTGGGGCCTTAATGGAGCCACATCTGCGGTTCTGGTGGACGGCAGTCCGAGGGCTGCCCTAGGCGGGGCTGGGCAGCTGGATGGTCCCAGCTCTTCTCTCCCTCTCGTTTCCCAGAGAAGGGTTTTCTCCACCACACCTGGCTAATCAATGAGGCATCGAGCCCATCCTGGGACTGGGACTGAGCCTCGCTCCTAATAGTCCCCCCGGGCTTTCTCTGATCACCTGGTGAGGCCCGCTTCCGTCAGCAGCCAGCTCTCCAGCCCGGCCTGAACCACTCCCCCCACCCCTGTGCTGCAGCATGGCATCCCACGGGCCTCAGTTTCCCCCAGGCCACCGTGTGGCTCAGCACGCTCCCCTCCTCGGCCTCCCATTGACGAAGGCCACAGGACCCAACGTTCCCCAAGTATACATCGGGTCCTGAAAGATGCCCCCCAAAGCTCCTGATCTATTGGAGAGAAGTTTTGTAAAGAAGCCCTTTCTCACCAGAAACTTACCATTCACTTCCCTCCCAGCACCCCCAGAAGGAAGAGCTAATGCAGCTTCCAGAGCTGCCTGACATGCACGCTTCCCAAACCCGAGGGGAACCTTCCTCCGTGTCCCCAGGACATGTAGGGTTCACCTAGTGAAAGGTGAGACCCAGAGGCTGCTCCTCCTGGGGTGGGTGGAGCCCCTGCGGCTGCAGCTGCTTCTGAGCTTGGTGACCACCCTGGGTGTTGCCCTGGGAGCAGCTTCGCAGGGCACTGACTTCTGACACCAGCTGTGTCTGCCAGAGAAAGCAGAGGTGACACCCTATCTCATCTCTGTGGCTTGCACGCCTGTGTTCCGGGAGCATCTTCAGCCCCGAGTGTCCGCCGTGTAGCCTGGTGCGGTTTTGTTCAGGGTACAGCCGTCCAGGGCTCTGTAAAGATAATGCATCCCCCACCCCCCCGCCTTTTTTAAAAATGAGGAAGAAAAGGATTGAGAAAGGGTACAGATGTATTTGTTTCCTTTTTCAAAAAAATTTTTGAATCATTACTAGGACTTCTGGACACTTGACTAAAACATATTTATTCGCTCACCCCTAGCAAATGTCCACATTACCCTGAACTTCCAGAAGTAGCGAGGGACACCACAGTGACAAACCCTTCCTTCTGATAAGCGGACGGGGGAGACCTCTGTGGAGAGACAGACGCGCAGGGAGAGTGGGTTCAGGGCCTTAAGGGAACACCCGGGAGGAGGCTCTTCCGAGTCCTGAGTGCGGCAGTCAGGGAGGCTTCCCAGTGATGAAGACGTAGGATGGGGAACAATTTGCCAAACAGATCCCGCCACTGACGCAAAGGGAAAGAGCGGGGAGCCGTGCCCTTGATCCTTGTGTCACTTTCACTCACATTTCATTGACCCACACAAGTCACATGGCCACGTTGAAGTTCAAGAAGACAAGGAAGTGAAATCCTGCTATGTGCTGGGGAGAAACACTGGCAAACCAAAGACACCACTAAATGCGTCGGTCTCTCCCTCCCAGGACTCATGTGTCCAGCTAGCCACTGGTGACCGCCTCGGCACACAGGATCAGGCCAATGTGTTTAACTCCTCAGACCCATTCCACCTCCTGGATAGGCCCATCTCTACAAATACTGCCCCGCCCCACCCCCCCCACCCCCCCCACCCCCCCGGCCATCCTGCAAGCCGCCCTTGCTCTCCCTCAATGTGCCATCCACCCCCAAGTCTCCTCTACAACATGCTTGAGGCAGTGGCCATAGAGTAGGCTTTGCCATCTCTCTCCAGCAAGCCAACCACAGCTTCTCGTCCCCAGTCCTGGCTCTCGACCTTAACACTCCAATCCACTCTACGTTCTCCATCCCATGGTGAGAATGAGTTTGCTAAAATATACAGTGGCCCTACATTTCTCTAGAGCACGACCCTAATTCCATGACCTGGCATTTGCTACTCTCTTTGCCTGAAACGTGTTTCCCCCCTCCCACCTGTCCCATGCCAAGTGGGTTTAAATCATCCTCAGTCAAGACAGCTCTGGCACCTCTCCTCCAGGCAGCCTACCTTGACTGCTCCCATCCCCCCCATTTCATATACATAGATGCTCATCGTCTGACCTCCCCGGTACCCTACACATCTCTATATTAGTGTCCACTATAAATGATACCATTTGTTGGATTGTGAGCCATTGCGAGACATGATGAGCTTTCGTAAATTTTAGTCTCTCTAGGGCAGCGGTTCTCAACCTGTGGGTCACAACCTCTTTGGGGGTCGAACAACCCTTTCACAGGGGTCGCCTAAGACCATCAGAAAACACATATATAATTACATATTGTTTTTGTGATTAATCACTATGCTTTAATTATGTTCAGTTTGTAACAATGAAAATACATCCTGCATATCAGATATTTACATTACGATTCATAACAGTAGCAAAATTACAGTTACAAAGTAGCAACGAAAATAATTTTATGGTTGGGGGTCACCACAACATGAGGAACTGTATTAAAGGGTCGCGGCATTAGGAAGGTTGAGAACCGCTGCTCTAGGGGCTGACACAGGCCTTGGCATGGAAGAGGTGCTTAGTAAGTGATCTTTGAACACAGGAGCAGTGGCGAGGTGCTGCTATTCTAAGCCTGCCTACCACAGCTCCTATTGCAGTGATGGCGAACCTTTTGAGCTCAGCGTGTCAGCATTTTGAAAAACTCTAACTTAACTCTGGTGCCGTGTCACATATAGACATTTTTTGATATTTGCAACCATAGTAAAACAAAGACTTATATTTTTGATATTTATTTTCTATATTTAAATGTCATTTAACAAAGAAAAATCAACCAAAAAAATGAGTTCGCGTGTCACCTCTGACACGCATGTCATAGGTTCGCCATCACTGTCCTATTGGCTCATCTCATCAGAAGCATTCCCTGTATTACCCATGGGGGAAGGGATGCAACATAGTCTAAGACAGTGGTCGGCAAACTCATTAGTCAACAGAGCCACATATCAACAGTACAATGATTGAAATTTCTTTTGAGAGCCAGATTTTTTAAACTTAAACTACATAGGTAGTTTGCTTCTTCTTTGTAGCCATGTCAAACAGGGCACCTAAAAAAAATGTTTCATTTTATAGTAATAAAGCCACCAACACAAAAGAATTACAATTCCTAAATTGATGACAAAAATACCTGTAGGATTTGCAGCTGGTTGGAAAAATACAGGTAACTTTATGCTTCGAGTAGGTACTTTTGTCACCCGCGCGCGATTTGAGGACATGACTAGCACTAACCACTGCACATGAGACTGCTGGCTGACCGGCTCGCTCAACTCATGCATGAATCGCGGGCTGTGTATCCCGCAGCCCCCCTGCGCCGCGTCTCCCCTCGCCCCACCGACCGACACCCCCCACTTCTTCTAACACCACTTCTTCAAAATAGACTCGCCCAGGCCGAATACCGACTTCTGCGCATGGGCCACGAAGTTTCAATCGCACTGTACATGCGCGCCCGCACGTGGTATTTTGTGGAAGAGCCACACTCAATGGGCCAAAGAGCCGCATGTGGCTCGAGAGCCGCGGTTTGCCGGCCCCTGGTCTAAGACATTCACAGGACATTTTTGTTTGAGTTGGGAGTTGGGATGTCTGCAGGTCACTGAGGGCCACATGACGCTGAATGTGAAGACGACAGCTAGGGTTGAAAAGCCATCCCTTCTATTTTCCATGACCTCATCGAGTCACCAAACAGAGGAGCCCAATAGAAGCTCCTGCCCAGCCTTCCCACATTGCAGACGAGGAAGCTGAGGCCCCGAGAGGTGAGTGAAGTGAGTCATCCCAAGTCATACAGGCAGCCTGAGACGGTCCCAAAGCCTGGACCAGCCTACAGCCTCCCACGCAAATGCTCTTCAAGAAAAAGAAGGTGTGGGTGCCTCCCACTCCATCTCATGAACAATGAGAACGTAAGCAAAACCTCAGTTAGCTAGAACCAACCGTATTTTCCTTTTCTATGATCTTCCTTCAAGAGGAAGTTGAAATTTGATTAAATTACTTCTTTCTCTCTTTCAGTCAATAACTCTTATTTAAGCACCTTCATGCTCAAGACACTGTGCTGGGCACAGCTGATGATCCAAGAGAAAAATACACCCTCTCTTCAGATTGTGGGAGCAGGACATATATGCCTGCACATTAACCAAGAATGCAAGGGAAATGCCAAATGGGTAGTTCAGGCATGAAGATAGTTTGCAAAAATTTCACAAGAAAATGCCCCCAGGAGAGATTTAGTCAGAAAAGCAACTCCTAGGGAGATTCCCTGGGCGCCACTCAATCCCCAACCCTGGTCAATGCCCACCTGTGACCCTACTGTGCAGTCTGACTACACTGATGAGCCTACAGCTGAAAAAGCACAGAATCAACAAAATGAGATGACTTTGTAATCAACTGTGTTCAACTTTCTCGTAGACCCAAATTCCTCCCCTGCACAGCACCTGGCTCAGTCACCATGAACCGATGTGTGTTTGGAATGAATGCGTGCATTCTTCTTTCTAAAGGTTACTTATTGCAGAGGTTGAACCCAAAACGAGTATCTCCTGAACCCTTAGTTGTTCTGTTAGTAAGCTTTTTTTTATTATTGAAATACAAGGTACTTACAGAAAAGCGACCAGATCATAAACTCAATGCATTTTCATACAGTAAACACACCCATGGAATTAGCACCCAGATCAAAAACCAGAAGCCCCTTCTGTGCCCCCCCAGAAGCCCCTTCCTGTCACCACCTCCCAAAGTTCTATCACGTAGATTACTTTTGCCTGGTTTTGAACTTTATATAAATGAAATCACATGGTATATGTCCTTTCAGCTCTGATTTCTTTTGTTCAACATTATTTTGGTGAGACTCACTAATATAGTTACAGTTACAGTTAATAGTGACAGTTCTTTCACCCTCATTGCTGTACACATTCCTTTGTGTGGATGGACCAGCCCTTATTTGTTTATTTTCCTGATGATTAACATCTGAGTTGTATCCCATCTGAGGCTATAGTGCTGCTATGAACATTGCTGAGCACATCATTTGGTGAATATACTAATATGTATTCATTTCCATTGAGAAATGAAATGCCCAGGGCAGAATTATTGGACTTCAAGGTATGTACGTGTTCAGCTTTAGTTGATACTACAATTAGTTGATATTTCAATGAGAAAAGAAGGGCAACGGAGAAAAAAAATTGTAATTATCTGAGAAAAAAATGTAATCTTAACATTTTTATCAATGAGACACTTGTCTTCAGTGATTGCAACAATTAAATTTTTAAAATAATATTGGAGTATACTAGATATTGGGTAGTCCAGTATTTTTCAACCATTGGATTGAAATTTACAGTAGTTTTTAAAATTTTGTATTATGGTGGAACATACATACATTTCAAGCATGCATAGTAGATTTTGAAAGTATTTTAGTAGGTCATGATCAGAATATTTTTTAAAAAGTGAAATAGAATAGAAAATGAAACAATAAAAAAGAAAATGCATCAGTAAGCATAAATACGATTTTGTGGAACTTTTGTTGCAGTGTATGTACTTTGAGTCAAAAAAAAAGTTTGTAAAACATCGGTCTAGTCCAACTCTTTCAATTTACAGAGTGGAAAATATACTAAAAAATGTAAAGTGATGTTTCCAGACGTAGCTTTAACTAGACCATGACATCCTAGCTTCCAATTCAGAGTATTTTCCGACTCCCATCTCATTATCTTTGCTGCCAATCTTTTCAAACTTATAGGCTAGATTCTGGGGCCATATCTTTGTGGCCCCACATTTTATCGGTGAGAAAGGATCTCAGGGTCCCTGCCCAGAAGGCTGCAGAAGGGGCCAGAACCCAATAATTGGCACCTTCTGTAC